AATCCCAACTCAGTTATCCAAGGCAAAGTATACATAATATATATGGTGGCCGGACCATAGAGAACAGATTTGGAAGAGCTGGGTACTAAACTAATACAGCCACTTGCCACAAAACACATTTTAGTCTGTTTGTATATTGGTGATCCCTTAAGATTCAATCACCTTTTAATGTCATAATTGAATTTGTGTAAGTAAATTGTGTGATAGTCACAGTAACAAGGCCACATATTGTGGACTCATCCCATTGTTAATTGACAAATGATTACACATTTTTTTTACCCCCTAGAGTATGTTATTTATGTCCAATTCATTGATAGTCCCAGAGAAGGTACAAGAGACCTAATAGTCTCTTCTCTCGTGTTCTCCCTGTTCTGAGACTTCTAGCCTTCAGTTTTGCCCAATTTGTTAGAAAGACAGAGGATAAGCTCTGGCTGTCTATATATTTTCCCTACCTACATAGTAATCTCTAACCTTCCCAGATTCACAATCTTTATAAAAGCAAAACTTTGGGTTTGTATTTGGATCATGATCAGACTTGGTTCTTGAGGTAGAAGCTTTTGTCACTCCTATTTTTGCCAGCTCCTTGAATATGTCACACTGGCCATAAACCTTTCTACTCACATATCGTCCAGTAAGGAATGGGTAATAGGCCTCTGCCTGATTTCAGGGGTCAAGGTCACAGAACCTCCAGGACAACAGTGTCTCAGCTTCCTAGGGGTGGGAAGAATCCAACAGAAGAGTCACTTTCCCTGGAGAGAGCCACAGCCCACATTACTAGTCCTAGTTGCTGTCCCGTCACTTGAGTTCCATTTCCTGGGCCAGGGCCCTAAGATTAATGTAGCTGATCTTGGGTGAAGCGTTCGTTATCCTAGTTGTTCTTTATCAATAAAAATTCAGGAGTCAGATATCAGGGTAAGACCCTGAAGGGTCAGAGAAGCCACCAGGCCTCTCCTACCTGCTCTGTTTCTTCCTCCAAAATGGCTGAGATCCCTCTCTGCCCTGCCTTACTACTACTACTACCTGTCCATATTCCTCCAAAACCTCTGTGGCTAATTTTGGTCAGTTAGTGGCTAGCTGTGCCCTCAGACTCCAAGCAACTTTCATTTGTCAGAACACTATTAGAATATCACAGAATTTTTCTCCCTTTTTGTCTAAAAAAACCCTAAACTAACATAGTAGAACTATATATAATAAGTACAATAACTTTATATAAATACATACAGGTAAGAATTACATTAAAAATGTCCAGTCTATTTGAATATGACAAATTCAGAGAAAATGCTCCATTATCCTATTTTGGTGAGTCCAAAGTGTTGTGCCTAATTTGTTTTCTATCCTAACTTGTATTACCATGCCAAAACTATCTTTTTATGTCTCAACTTTATACACTCTACACCTCTTTTCTGAGTTTCTTTACTGAATTTGGTAACAAGAAAAACTATAACTATCTAGTCTTCAACTCCATCAGAGACCTGAGAAGGATATAATATTAACTGAGTAAAGAGAAATTGCAGAGCAAACATCTTCCAAATCTAAGAAATGACAAACAGCTGGCTGTCTGGACAGTCACCCAAGGCACATAACTATAACTTTGGGACATCCATCTTCAGCCTATAGGCATAGAATATCTGACAGACTTTTCTGTGAAGCAGGAATTTTGAAGGACTGTCCCACCTTGTCTTGGCGGAGTTCAGGTCACTTTCTTTTGTGTCCTGCTTGTCCAGTTTGGACACCAGTCAAAGCAAGAACAATTTCTTGCCCAGTGGCTAACTTTAGCCACAAAGAAAGTAAACTCCATATGGAGTTTCTTTGATGTCCATCATCTTCTCTGAAGTAGATTAGTGCTGCCAGGAGCAGACATGTCTCATTATAAAAAAAAACACGCCGGGCGGTGGTGGCGCTCGCCTTTAATCCCAGCACTCGGGAGGCAGAGGCAGGCGGATCTCTGTGAGTTCGAGGCCAGCCTGGTCTACAGCGCGAGATCCAGGAAAGGCGCAAAGCTACACAGAGAAACCCTGTCTCGAAAAAAAAAAAAAAAAAAAAAAAACACTTGTTATTAAAACATCTTAAATGTCATATTCTGTAGATCTCTGAGATATTTGAAGACCACCTGTCTACCTAAAATGTCTCTGACTTTGAAAACATACCTAACATGACTACAAGTTTGATTGTAATAAGTGACTAACTACTGAACTGCATTTCTTTATTATCCTAAATAGTTTGTAATAATAACTTTCAAGGACTAGAAATTTACATTTCTCTACCTGCCCATATCACTTCCTGTCTCAACCTCCCTAGTGCTAGGATTAAAGGTGTGTGTGTCTCCCAAGTGCTAGGATTAAAGATGTGTGCCACAATTGCCTGGCCTCTATGGCTAGCTAGTGGCTGGCCTTGCCCTCTGATCTTCAGGCAAGCTTCATTTGTTAGAGTATTCACAAAATATCACCACAGCCTTCTAGTGGGCTGACACCTTGAACTTCAATTGCCACCTGCTGCTCTTTCTCTTTGTAAACTGAAGTCTCTTGCTTTGGGGATATTTGTTGTTAATTTCTTCTCAAAAAAATTACTGCAAGCTCTTTGCCAGTGTTCAGTTTCTGTCCATAATGAGGAAATTTCAGCATTAGTAAAATTCCTGCTAATTGATGAAATCTTAGTTTTCGTTTCAGAATCAACTCAGAAACCTTTTCTACATAGGTCTTTAATTTTTTACTCTGTGTGGTAAAAATATCCATTCTAAGATATTGTCTTCTCTCTGCATTTGAATTCCAGGAGGGGAATGCATAGAAGGTAAAATAACCAGAATACAGTCAAGCAGTGGATCCAGATGATCCACATGTTAATCCTGTAATTTCTTTGCTACCAAAGCCATTTCTCTCTCAGCCTCAGCTGATAATCTTCTTGAACTATTTAAGTCGTTATTACCTTGTAAGGTTTGGGATAAATTACTTAGTTCTTGAGTTGTCAATCCAATTGTGGGCCATGGCCAGTTAATATCTCCCAGCAATTTTTGAAAATCATTAAGATCTCGTAATTGATTTCTCCTGATTTGTGCTTTCTGTGGTTGAGTTTTTTTATAAACTTATCTTATATCCTAGGTAACTAATAGAATCTCCTCTTTGTACTTTTTCAGGAGCAATTTGTTTCAGGAGCAACAAACAAAATTGTCTTTACTTCTTCATTTTATCTAAGGTATCTGCATCTGAATCAGCTAGTAAGATATCACCCATATAATGTTAAATTATAGATTGAAGAAACAGCTATTTCTAGTGGCTGTTGTACAAAATATTGACACAAGGTAGGACTATCTAACATTCCTTGTGGGAGAATTTTCCACAGATATCTTTTAGCAGGCTGGGAATTATTATAAGTAGGTACTATGAAGGCAAATTTTTCTCTATCCTGTTCTTGCAAAGGTATAGTAAAAAAAAAAAGCAATCTTTTTTTTTAAGATTTATTTATTTATTATGTATATAGTATTTTGTCTGCATGTATGCCTGCAGGCCAGAAGAGGGTACCAGGTCTCATTACAGATTGTTGTAAGTCTCCATGTGGGTGCAGGGAATTGAACTCGGGACCTCTGGAAGAGCAGCCTGTGCTCTTAACCACTGAGCCATTTCTTCAACCCCAAAAAAAGCAATCTTTTAAATTATTAACTATATTAGGCCGTCCTTTAGGAAATAGAAAAAGCAGGGGAATTCTAGGCTGTAAAGAGCCCCTTGGCTGAATCACCTTATTCATAGCTCTTGGATCTGTTACCGTTCTCCATTTTCCAAATTTCTTTTTAATGACAAATACAGGAGAATTACAAGGACCAGTGGATTCTTCAATGTGTTGAACATTTAGCTGTTCCTATACCAGCTGTTCTAAGGCCTGTAATTTTTCTGATGTCAAAGTCCACCCAGACAGGTTTGTCAGTTAACAATTTTAAAGATGGGGCTTTTGGTACCTCTGAAAGATCAGCAGCTGTTGTGCCCTGTTTATATACAATCTGAATTGTCGGTGGCTATTCTTTATAATACCTTTTAATATTTTCCTCAGAAGCATGTTAGTTTATGGTTTGTTTCTGAGACTGGAGGAATGTTAACCTGGGTATTCTATTGCTGTAACAATCATGTCCCATAAATTCATTGCTTTGTTAGCCACATGTGGCTTTAATTTTCCTGTCTTTCCAGCCCTATACATTCAACCCATCTTGTGCTTTGTTTTACTTGAGATAAAGTTCCAGTCCCTAAAAGCTGAACATTTACCTCTGAAGTGGCTGATTTGGATGACAAGATCTTGGTGCAATTGTTGTTACATTTGTCCCTGTGTCTACCAAACCCTCAATTACAATGCCATTTATTCATATTTTTACATTGGTCTTTGATCATTTATAGAAGTTTGCCAAAATATTTGCTTTATGGTTTTTCCTGAAAATTTTGTTTTATCTTCTAAAGATGTTCTGTCATTCAGAGCAGTATAGTTTTTCATAACAGGCATTAAGTCTTCTAGTTGCTCTCTGGAAGAGTTTCCCAAATGCTGACAGGGAATGACTGAACCACATTTGATACAGGGGACTTCCAAGAGGCCCCTAATGCCAACGGGTTACCTTGCCTGTCCCTTCTTGATCTGCATTTATTGGTCCAATGTCAGCCTTTGCCACACCTTCTGCATATTCTAGAAGGCTAGGGCCTTCTGTTTAGAATTTCTATAGGAAAAAACATTGTTCCTGGGAACACCTTGCTTGCAAACCCTTTTCAGATGACCTGGTTTACCACAATTAAAACATCCAACCTTAAAGTTTTTCCTTAAAGTTTTTAGAAGTCACTTCTATCCAAGTATCATCATAAGCATGAGATCCAATATCAGCTGTATTTCTTTTTTTTTTTTTTTTTTTTTTTTTTTTGGTTTTTCGAGACAGGGTTTCTCTGTGTAGCTTTGTGCCTTTCCTGGAACTCACTTGGTAGCCCAGGCTGGCCTCAAACTCACAGAGATCCGCCGGGCTCTGCCTCCCGAGTGCTGGGATTAAAGGCGTGCGCCACCACCGCCCGGCTCAGCTGTATTTCTAATCCATTCATCTGTGGATGCTGATCTTGGCTTTAAAGGCCTGATCACCCTTTTACATTCTGAAGTAGCATTTTCAAAAGCCAAAGAACAATTCAATTAATATTCTTCTAACTTCTGGATCTGATGGCATTCTATTTACAGCTGAAGTCAACATTTATTTATTTATTTATTTATTATTTTTGTTGTTTTGTTTTTCGAGACAGGATTTCTCTGTGTAGCTTTGCGCCTTTCCTGGATCTTGCTCTGTAGACCAGGCTGGCCTCAAACTCACAAAGATCTGCCTGCCTCTGCCTCCCGAGTGCTGGGATTAAAGGCGTGCGCCGCCGCCGCCGCCTCCTCCCCCCGGCTCAATCTTTATTTAAAAAAAAAAAAAAAACTGATGAAGGCTTCTTTTGGGCCTTGTATAATGGGCCAAGTAAATGGCTCAGTTCTCTTTCCTGCTTGTTCAATCTTGTCCTAAGCATTCAAAGCTGCTGTACAGCACGGGGATAAGATGTGATTGTCAAATGTAACCTGTCTTTCCACATTAGCATAACGGCCCTCCCCAAGAATTTGATCTTGGGAAATCTCATAACCCTTAACTCTACCTTGCTGTTTGATGGCCCTAGCTTCATCTCTCCACTGTGTAGTCCACTGTAACTGAAGACCAGATTCCAATATTGCTGTAGCTAAATCTTTCCAGTCTTATGGAATAATTCTGTTCTAAGTGGACCATGAATTTAACATCTGCTACACAAAAGGTGAATGCATACCATATGAAACTATTGCTTCCTTAAATCTCTTCAATCTAAAGTTTCTAGGGGTTCCCAGTTAACTTCTGAATAGCCTTGGGGATGCCTATCATCGGTGGTCGTTCTTGAATGGTAACTGGATAAATAAAGGTTATTTTCTAATAACCTTGGGCCGCTTCCCTTCGGTTTCATAATGCCGTGGTGTCGTAACTTCTGCTCTAAACTCCTCTATCAGTATGTGAATATTTTTTCTTAATTCCATTAGTCTGTCTTTATAGAGATTTTATTTTATCAGTCAATTTTTCTTATTTGGCACTGATATCAAACAACTTTTGGGGGATAAAATAAGAATTGCTAAAATGATAATTGACATTATGTCAGTTCCAGCTAAGTTAATTAATTATCCCTTCATTTAATTGTTCAATTTTCAGACCATTCATTGCAGAACTATACAGAGACCTAACTCCATGCATCATAATGTTTCCCATTTTTATCTTGGGGGGTGAAAAACCTCTTTTCTCTTTTTTAAATTTGTTTTTTTATAACCATTTCCACCCTTTAAGAATTCCCAGGTGTCTCCCCAGTTCTGCGGACGATGACAGTGAAGTGTGAGGCTGGCTCAAGCTGTGTAGCATGCCTGGCCAGAGAACACAGGCAATCCACAGCTTGGCTGAGTGCAGCTGCAGCTGCTTGCACAGAGTTGTGAGCTGAGAGTATGTGGTAATTGCAACAACAATAGAAGCCAGAGCTGGTGTCCAGGCAGCTGACCTAGTGTGACAGCAGTCACCTGAGGAGGGGGTCCAGGGGAAGCCCTCAACCCATGGGGAAAAGGAGTCAAGGAGACAGCCATCTCAAAGGCAACACAAGGGAACATGTGGACTCAGTACATGTGACGGGCAGGGAGTGAGAGCACAGAGCTGCCTGAAGGCAGAACCAGCTGGTAGTGGGCTGCTAACTCCAGCAGCATTTGGAGCCCAGGCACCTGTGGAGTTAGGGGCCTATGGAGACTGTTGTAGACAGTTGTTAAATTTTTTTTCGTGTGTATGAAATGCTAGGGATTGCACCCAGGGCCTTATGCACATGATATAACAACCTAGTTAGATCTCCATCCCTAAACCTTGTTGATGAGATTTTACATGTCATTTTCATGCTAAACTTTTAAATAACATCACAACACTTTCAAATGCCTTGTAGCTACATGCAGCTCTTAGAAAGCACAGCTCTGAGCAGTTACCCTCAGCTTCATTCCTACTTGGTCGAACAAGTTATACTTAACTCTGGCTTCAAGATAGATATCGTCTATGACTCCTAACTTGGGTCTCTCAGCCTACCCAAGAAGTATTGGTATGGCAGAATGAACCCAGACGGAAACTCTCCATTCCGACTGGATTTGTACAGTGGATCATTAATAAATGTACTAAATTGTGATTAATTTTCATACTCCTCACTTACAGTTATGATAAGGTATGCTTGAAGGATACTAAAATAGTAAAGTATTCAACAGTTAGGACTTGTTTATCCTATGTAATTACCCTTTTACCATTTTTCCAAAGCAAAACATATTCGTTATATAACACTTCAAGACTCACCTCGGCCAGCGGGAAGACAGCCACCCCCACCTGATATAGTTCCACTCAGTCTTGGACTAGCCAGCCAGGGTCCTCAAGGCCTGCCTTGCAGTGCTGGGCAGGTGGGCTTCATTATGATAAGGAAATAAGTGGTTGAGAAATGATAGAGATAGAGAAGCAGAATGGGTCATACACTGTGGAAAGATACAGAAAGGAAGAAATGATGATGGTGAAGAGTGGGCAGATGTTGGAGGCCTGCTTGCTACCTGGGGCCATGGTAGAAGACAGTGAGGAGTAATCTGAGGGGGCAAGTCTGCACACCACCCAGGGCCATGGTGATGTCCAGGCCGGGCTGCTGCCAAGGGCCATGTCTGAGTCCCCAGTCTACAGAAGCCAGGGTCAGTGTTAATGTCCATGGTCCTGTTGCCGTTGAGTTCCATGTTGATTCCAGTGGGCTGGGCCACCTCCTGGAGCAATGTTTGGGTCCACAGGCCACGTTGACACTGGGACCATGCCAATTTGGGTGGCCTTTACCACCACCTAGGGTCATGGTGACAACCAGACTTCAGCTGCTGCCAAGGACCATGTCTGGATCCATAGTCCTACCGCAGCCGAGGTCTATGGGGATGTCCATGGCCCATGTTCCCACCTATGGTATACAGGGGCTATGCTGCTGCCAGAGCCATCCTGATCTGAGTGGCTGGGGCTACCACTTGGAGCTAGGATGTCAACTGGGCCTAGCTGCTTCCTGGAGCCACGTCTGGGTCCATGGCCCAGCTACAGCTGGGGTCTGTTGAAGTCTGTGACCCAGGTTGCTACTTGGGCCTACACAGAGGCCTAGGATCCAGTGCCTTGGGACTGATTGGAGTCTGGGGACCACATCACAGCAGGAGTCATACAGATATAGGTGTCCTGTGTTGCCCCCCACGGCCATAGTGTCATCTGGTTCCAGGCTGCTGCTGAGGGCCATGTCTGGGTCTATGGCCCTGTAGGGGCCAGATTGATGAATGTTGCTCCTGTTACCACAGAGCGCCATGAATATTCCCAGGGTCAGATCAGCCACCTGAGTCCAGGTTTGTGTCTGAGGGCTAGGATGCTTGAAGAACTGAGTGATCTGTGCTGCTACTCAATGTCAGGGTCTGTGGTGATGTCTGATGCTCTCCATCAAAGGCCATGCAGACACCTGAGATTGAGGGCCATGTTGGTGTCTATGGGCCATACTGCCTCTGGGGCAGTGGTGACATCCAGACCCAGCTGCTGCCAAGGAGCATGTCAGGATCTGTGGTCCTACCTCGGCTGTGGTCTGTGCTGAATTCCAGGTCCTGTAATGCCACCAAAGGTCACATAGAGGCCCAGGGATGAGGCCACAACCTGAGTCCTTGGTGGTGTCTGGTGGCCACCTGAGTGGCCATTCCTTCCACCCAGAGCCAGGATGTTTTCCAGGCCCAAGCTGCCACCAAGGGCCGTGTCTGGGTCTGTGGTCCAGCTGCACCTGGGGTCTGTGTTGATATCTGTGTCCTGTGTTGCCTCAAGAGGGCTTAGAAACCATTTGAGATGAAATCAGAGGGCCATGCTGAGCCAGCTCCACCCGTCAATGGCCATGGGAAAGTTACCCTTGCCCCTCGCTGGACACTACAACAAGAGAGCACTTGGGAGAGATGGCCCACACCCCTCACCACAGGCATGGCTGAACCGACTCTGAGGGCATGCATGTAGCCGAGTTGACTCCACCCCTTCATCCAAGACAGGTGGCCCGGGCGACCCAGACTGACCAGCTCAATTACCACCCAGGCCCACAGCTGGGCCTTGGGTTGGCCTACCCTAGCATCTACCCCATTTAGGACCTGCTGGAGCTTGTGAAAGGACTGGTCCTGTGGAATGATAACCCACAGGATCTCCAAGAACATTGCTAGTAAAGCTGATGGGACAAATGGGTTTACTGCGGCACACCGAAGCCCCCAACGCCACCAGGATGGATGGAGAGGCAGGAAAGAAGGAAAAGCAAAGAGGTTTTTTCTGTTTCGTTTCTGCTTTTGTTTACTTGCTTATTTGTTTTGTTTTCTTTTGTGGGGGACACAGCAGGGGTGAGGAGAGGATATGGAGGGACTAGGAGTTGAGCAGAATAAAAAAAAAGACTCTCAGATCAGTGATATTTAGGTGATTTCTAAGTGTTCTAAGCATTATAATTTTTTTTTTACAGGTTTCTACCCCAGGAACAGACCTCTTTGCTCATATAATGGGATGAGGTAAGGAAGAGATGTGAAAGGGCCAAGCAGCAGGCTTACACCCTACACTCGTGTCTGTTATATTGAAGAGATGGAATGGGTTTTTTCATCTGCCTTTTGTATACATGTATGTGTTGTGCATTTAGGTTTCTTTCCTTGGACATGTTCCCTAGGAAGCACTGACCTGGGAGAGGATGAGCTCCCAGAAGCATGGGCTGAGAGATACCAGGCACTGGATTTTAGTTTCATGAAGGCAGATACTCCTTTAAATGACCAGTGCGTGGGAGGTGGAGGCAGGCAGTTCTCTCTGAGTTCAAGGCCAGCCAAGACAACATAATGAGACCCTGACTCAAAAATAAAATTAAGAGGCTGGAGAGGTGGCTCAGCATTTAAGAGTACATACTGCTCTTTCATGAGATCCAAGTTCAGTTTCCAGCACCCACTTCAAATGTCTCAGAACTACCTGTCACTCCAGTTCCAGAGGATCTGATACCTACCCTCTTCTAGTCTCTGTGGGTACCTGCACTCTCATGCATATATCCTTACATAGACACATATGCATACACATAAATAAAAATAAGATAAATATTAAAATTAAGTTAAAAATAGAAGCAAGACCCCTAGAGGATTCAGAGTTAGCTACTCTGAAGTCTGCTCTATGGCTGCAAAAGTGTCCCTATTTTGCAGGGTTTAAAAATCGTCTTTGAATAAGGTATCTGATGTTTAGTCCAGATTGGGCTAGAGCAGGGGAAACAACACATAAAAAGTGAAGTAGTATCACTGGTAAGATGAGTAGCAAATGATCGCTTGTGGTACTAGTCTCAGGTTTTGGTTTTGGTTTTGAAGATTTATGTATCTTATGTGTACAGTGCTCTGCCTGCATATATGCCTGCATACCAGGAGAATGCACCAGATCTCACTACAGATAGTTGTGAGTCACCATGTGGGTGCTGGGAATTGAACCTAGGACCTCTGGAAGGGCAGCCGGTGCTCTTAACTGCTGAGCCATCTCTCCAACCTGTTTTGATGTTAAGAAATACCTTCCTCCTGCTGGGTATGGTGATACACCCTTTTAATCCCAGCACTGGGGAGGCAGACACTCTGGGCATTGTGGTGCATTCCTGAAATCCCAGCACTCTGGAGGCAGAGGCAGGTTTAGCTCTGTAAGTTTGAGGACAGCCAGAAGTACACAGATAGACCATGCCTCAAAAATTAAAAAAAAAAAAAGTCCTTCCTTCAGAAAAAAAGACACAAGAACAAAAATGACATCCCTGGTGATACTTCCACCCAGCATGGAGGACCTGCAGATACTGAGTTCTCCTGGGTGTGCTGTTGGCCAAGCATTTCATCTGCTTGACTCCACTTACATACAGATGTAGAGGCCCAGTCGGGTTTATTTAGTCAAGCCAGCACTGCTGGACGTTAAGGATAGATTTCCATTTCCCACAAGAAAATGGCTGTTGGCCATTTTGTTTGCTTTTCTTCGATGATCAAAGAGCACATTTAACTAGAGGTTGTGTGATGCCCCATGCCTATAAAACCAGGCTGGCTGACCTCTCACCTGGTTGACTTTACAAGTGACTACTCTCTCAGGGCCTGGGATCTGTCACTAGCTCAGGACACCCATTATGAGGTATGATCCATAGGTCAGTGTGGCTGTGTCACCCATTGAATCGGCAACTGTCCAGACCTATTTTCTGGTAGATAGGGGCTCCCCCCGACCCGGGATGCATTAGGAATGGACAGAGGAGGAATGCAGGCAGTGAACTCCCTAGGGGCTTAAATCACACCAGAAAACAGGTTGGACACTTCCTCTCTCCAACAGTGTTGAGTGTTCCTAGTTCTAGCAAGGAACCCCACACACTCCTTGGAATCTATAACTGCTTGTTTCCTGGACAGGTGTGATCTGCCCCTTTTGCCTTTCCAAGCATTACAGGGACACCCCTCTGAATTTCTGGGTCTCATGGCTTTTTTCTCGAGAGCTAGACTAGCTAATATGTTACAAGCCTAGAGAGTTCAAGGTGCTCTTTCTGTGTCCCCAGCCAGAGTTGTTGCAGCCAGTGCTGAACTCAGGGTGACCTCCCTGCAGGGATCACAATGATGAGTCCAGCTGCTGCCTGCCATTGGAACGGCAGGGACATCTGCTCTTGAAAGAAGAAACCCAGGAATCTGCAGATCAGTTTTCAAGGCCACAGCCTTTCCCCCTCTGGTACTTTCCGGACCTTAAAACTAGAAATTACTGACTGGGAAAGGCGGACATCATGTTCACAGCGCCTGGCGTGGCGGCGGTTGGCGGAAGGCCTTATTCCTGCAGTGAGTGTGGCAAAAGCTTTCGGTACAGTGCAGTGCTGCTGCGGCACGAACGTGCCCATGGTGGTGACAAACGTTTCCGCTGTCTCGAGTGTGGTGAACGCTGTGCTCGAGCCTCAGACTTGCGTGCACACAGGCGGACCCATGCTGGCCAGACCCTCTACGTCTGCAGTGAGTGTGGCCAGAGCTTCAGTCACAACAGCCTGCTGGACCTACACTTGGGGACACACCGAAGGCGTAGCCACACCTGCCCCTGCCGCCTCTGTGGCCGTCGCTTCCCTCACATCCCTGCACTACTGCTGCATCGGGTCCGACAGCACCCACCTGAGAAGCCCCACCGCTGCCCACACTGTGCCCGCTCCTTTCGGCAGAGTGCTCTTCCTTTTCACCTGGCACGGGTGCACCCCCCAGAGACCACCACTGCCACCGCTCCTTCCCCCAGCCCGCTGCACCACTGTACACAGTGCCCACGGGCCTTTCATAGCAGTGCTGGGCTGCGGAACCATTCCCGCATCCACGTCGTCCTCAGCCTCAGCGACCCTGGCGCTGAGGCCCACCAGTGTGGTGTGTGTGGTAAGAGCTTCAGCAAGAGTTCCACACTCACACGACACCTCCAGAGGCACTCAGGGGAGAAGCCCTACAAGTGCCCTGAATGTGGCAAGGGCTTCTTGGAGAGTGCCACGCTGGTGCGGCACCAGCGAACACACACTGGAGAAAAGCCATACGCATGTAGCGACTGCGGGCGCTGCTTTAGCGAGAGTTCCACACTGCTGCGCCACCAGCGCAGCCACCAGGGTGAAAGGCCCCACGTGTGCCCTACTTGTGGCAAGGGCTTTGGACAGCGATATGACCTTGTGGTGCACCAGCGCAGCCACACGGGGGAGAGGCCTTTCCCGTGCCCAGAGTGCGGCCGGGGCTTCACAGACCGCTCAGACCTCACCAAACACCTGCGCACACACACTGGGGAAAAGCCTTACCACTGTGAGCTGTGTGGCAAGCGATTCACCTGCATCTCCAACCTCAATGTGCATCTGCGCAATCATGCCGGCCATAAACCACACAAGTGCCCAGAGTGTGGCAAGTCCTTCAGTGTTGCTTCCAAGCTTGCACTGCACAGAAAAACACACCTAGGTGAGCGGACAGCAGAATGCACGGAGTGTGGCAAATTCTTTAGCCATGGCCGATCACTGTCACAGCACCAGCGGTCCCACAGACGTGCTAGAGCAGCTGCAATGGCAGCCACTACCACCACCGCTGTAGTCACTGAGGTGACAGTAGGTCCTCCCCTTGCCCTCACAGGGCCAACGGAACAGGAGAGATCAGGGCTCCTAGTGTCTCCATTTCAGGAAACTTGCTAAGCAGGCCCTATAAGGTGGCTGGGTAAACACATTCAACCCTGAGGAAAAGACAGCTCAGATGGTTTGGAAGCCAGACCTACTGCTGTTGTTGCATTGTTACTAGGTACTCACCTAGGTTGCCTTGTCTCTAAACGAAGATCCCTAACAGCTCTTCCATCATCCATCCTTGTATTCCCCAGCTCAAAGTCCTAGGAGTCAAGGAACCAATACCACAGCCCTATGCAAGACAGACGAGGTGTTTCGTGTTCTGTTTCTGCCACTCTGCTCTCCCTTGGTGTTGGGCCTGAGCTTTTCTTTCTTGGCTCTTCAGGCAACATATTTGGTCAGTTAGGTCTCTTGTTTCTTATCTGCCTGTTAATCTCTACTGCTTTCTCTTGCTTGAGACGTAGTTGCAGTATGGAAGGGTGGAATGGCTCCCTTCTCTAAAGGACCAAGATCTGTGGAAGTGACTCCCTTCAAAAGGTAAAACACAAAAGTAGGCACTCATCAGCCTGGCCATCCATATGCCCTTTTACAAGATGCCTCTTAGGGCCCAACAAAATGGTTCAGCAGGTAAAGGCACCAGCTGACAACCTGAATTTGATCCTTTGAACCCACACATGTACCATCCATGGCACATGTGCACACAAAGAACTAACCCTCCCCTCCCCCAACAAATGCCTCTTCGAACAATTTTCTCTAGCCAGGTAAGAAATGTTTGCCTTGGGATGCAGCCCAAGATTGTGTAAGTCCATAAAGCCCAGTGACACCATGTGAAACAAAAGAATGTTCTTTCCAGATGAAGCTTCAAGGCATGAGGAAACAAGTTCCCTGGAGTCCTGGGCAAGGGCAGGATGTAAAGCCTGGAATTGGTCAATGACTGCTTATAGCTGGTAACATTGCTATTTGTTTGGGTTTGTGACACCAACAACCCCTTTGTCAAAATGAGTTCCAAGTTCTCATCCCTTTTGGTGGTGGTTTCTTCATTGCTGTGACAAATGCCTGAGAAAATCAACTTAAAGATTTATTTTGACTCGTGGTTTCAGTAGTATCATTCCGTTGTCAGCTGGTTCCACTTCTGTGAGCCTGAAGCAAAGCCGAAAGGCATGGGAGGCCACCCACTTCAGGGCAAGGAAATATGGGAAGTATACAGGAACAAGATTACCCTTCAAGGCATTTCCCCAGGACTGTGGCCTCACTACCTAATAGGCCTTCAGCTATGAACTTATCAAAGGAGTAACTCCTTGACAGGTCATGATCTACAGTCCAGTTACCTGTCAAAAACCCATCCACTATAAACTAGTTCAAACTTTTGCTGTAGGGCTTGGTTCTATACCAGAAGGCCAGACTGCATGGCCCACCACAGGCAAATGCTAGACAAGAGGTCATCTGCCTCCTGGACCAGCCTGCCCCAGACCAAGGCAGATGTTACACTCTACAGGAAAGGTCTAGAAAGAAGTTGAGCTTGTGAGCAGGGTCGTCTTATACTACATTCTGGCATAGCTAACATCCTGTTTTCAAAAGATTCCCAGATTCTTAAACCTGTAGCACCAAAGCATATGTTCTGCCCACACTTGTATAAAATACCATTTATTGTTTCCTTGAGGAAGGCTAAAACAAGGTATCTGGAGCCCAGTTGTGCCATACCCTTCACTTCACTCCTAATACCTAGTTCCTGGAGACCACCATCTGACTTCTCTCTGCATCCCTAGGGTCTAGCTCACCAGGTTGTGAAGAGCTGGCTGTTGAGGGGGCAAGATTAGAGTCAGAAGAGGAAAAGAGGCCAGCCCCCTCAGGAGATTGCAGGGGTTCAGTGGCAGATACGCTGGGACTAGACTCCAAAGAGCCAGGTGACTCGTGTGCAGGGAGCAGAGTTGGGTGGCTTTTGCTACAGTGAGCTGCCACACTGTCTGGCTTCTCAAAGCGTTTGCCACAAAATTCACAGGGAAAGCGCAGGGCAGCTGCTGTCTCTGCATGCTTGCGTCGGTGCCAGTTTAGAGAGGCCTTCTGACGGCAAGTGAACCCACATATCTCACACCTGCAGCCAGAGACAGGAAGAAGCCTTGGTCCACCTTCACCTCCCTGGAGGTTCTGCTGCCCACTTCCTGGCTGCCAGACACCAGCTCCCTCCTTGGCCCCTGGCACTCACTGCAGGGGCTTCTCTCCTGTGTGGATTCGTCTGTGGATGACAAGGTTGCTGCTAGTGCGGAAAGAGCGAGCGCAGAATTCACAGATGTAGTCCCGGGTGTCTGTAGGCACACAAGGAACATTCAGTCATCTTCAAGCTTTAGCCTACCATCCCCAACAGAAGGTGAGTACTGGGGCTCAGGAGTCTTGGGTCCTAATAAGCACCTGGACATCCTGTACCTGACTGGTCCTGAAAACTGAGATAGACAGGCATCTAAAATTGCACTCTCGTCACCTTTAGTCCCTAGCTCCAACTGTCTCCTAGGGCACAAGTATACCTCCCCTATCTGGAGCCTTGGGCTGCATCTTTGTGGAAGGAGTAATGAATAGGGAGCTGGATGGAGCCTTGTGTGGATAGGAAGTACCAAGTAGCAACCACATACAAGCCTGGAGTCAGAAGTTGGGGTTTCAGTCCAAGCTTCAAGGATAACCCTAGAACCAGAAATCCTGCCACTCCCAGGACCATGTCTGCAAGTGGCCAGTCTTCCTTTTACTGAACCTACTAACTCCAGCAGCACTTGCTGTCACCTTCATTGCTGATCAACAGCTCTCAGGCTGCTGTGGTTCTTCTCCTGTGCCACTAAAGCTAAATGCCCACAGCAGCAACACTGTCCTTGCTTCTTGTGGTACCCTTCAGACTGTCTCACCAGCTCTCTGGAGACCTGGCCATCCTCACACCACAAGCTATGGCTTCAAGTCCTCTACTCTCCATCTGCTATCTTAGGGCAGCACTGTACTCCTGTCTCCTCATCACTTCATCCTCCACTCTGCTCAGACATCACCAAGCACCATACCACCTCAAACATTTCAAGCATCCTGGCTCCAACCAGATCCTTGTGCCTTGTTCAGTGTGACAATCTGATGATTCCAGGCCACCATTCATTGTCCCTACTACCTTTTCATAGCCCCTTCCCCTTTCAGCCCCATTTTCACAGCTGTCTTTATGGCCTTCTTTCATATTACCAATCTGTCCTGTCCCTTAGTAGTACTTGGTTGGTGAAAGTCCAACTCTGGCCAACCTAACCCCTGGCCTCTGTAAGATGGGGAATGAATACTCAACCCTCCCCATGGTCTTTCCTCTCATTGATGGGCTCTGCCGTGGCCACTGCCCAGAATCCTGAAGAGCTCTCTCCAACACTCCTGGTGCCATTCTTTGCCCCCCAAATCCAGCAGTTATTTAGTACCCTCTGCCCATATATACGAGTATGTGGATGCCTTCACATGTCTCTCAGAATTCACCTCTTCTCATCAAAGTCAGTAAGCCTTCCTTTCCCACTCTACACCTTAAGCTTTTAGCCTTCCATATGAGACCTTACTCCTCTGCTCATCTGCACAGCAGAACTCCAGCATCTCCCACTTCCTCACCTCTGCTTGCCTTGAACACACTCCACTCTGGCTGTCATCCCCAGAGTAGAGTCTTGTCACACGGTCTTGTTATCTAGTACCCTCTCCTTCCTTGGCCTGCAGCTTCTGTCAACCTGTTCTCCCTCCTTCCTGGAGCAGTTTCTGCACTTGCTTTCTCAAGTGCCACTTTCTTTGCCTCCCCCCTCCACCCCAGCCTACCCTCTGAAGGTAGGTGTACCATGTCAGACCTCCCTCCCTCCCTCTCTGCAGGCACACTACCCATGCTCATGACAGATTTCTGCTAACGCTAAAAATCCCATACTCACATCTTGACATCAAATTAACATGTATTAACTCAGATTCCTACCCTCCAACCCCTTCCTTGCTTTCAGGGACTCATCACCATTTACCCAGCTGCCCAGGCTGGTATTGTCTTAGACACCCTCTCTCCCTGCCAGTCCCATCTGTGGCTCACTCATCCTTCTCACACAGCCCTTTTGCACTCTCATAGGCGCCTCAGCCACTGCTCATCAACTATGATGGGCAAACCCAGGCCATCACCATCAGTGTGCACCCACCTCTACTCATCTACAGTCCCTGATTCTCCACATAGCTGCTACAGCCATCTCTGAAAGTCAGCTATCTTACCACCTTGGAAGACCTCACAATGGTCTCATCCCAAAGTAGAAGCCACATCATCCGTACTATGGCCTTAGAGGCCTCCTCTCCATTCCTGGAACATATAGATTCTTTCCACATGTGCTGCCCTGTGTTCCTCACTTCGCTCACATCTTGCTGCAAGGCTTTGACCACAGAAGCAACTGCCCTTCCTGCTCTCCACCCTCCCCTTCTTTCCCATATCTTCATGGCCCTACATGACTAGAGTAAACATTTCACAAGGGTCAGGCTCCTCAGAACCTAGTAACAAGCTCAAGCTCAAGCAGGCAGGGGCTAATCAGGCACCCAGGGACTAAGGGATTCAGCCCTCCCCAGGGGAGCTAAGGGTTTCCAGCACTCACCACTGTGCAGCTTCACATGCTCCTTCAGATGCTTTTTAAAGTTGAAGGACTTCCCACAAGCTGGCTCGGGGCAACAGAATGACTTCTGGTGGATGTGCTGGTACTTCTTGTGGTGCTAAGAATGGGTGACAGACGAGAGAGAAGAGGCAAGAGCATGGCTGCCTCCCCAGGGAGACTGACTTGAGCGGGGTGAGCAGGCAGGCTCCTCTTCCACCCTTGTTTCCCCACCACAGTTCTGTCACTGGGCCACCATCCTGTCCCACCCCCATGCCCTCAGTAGCACAACTATCCTCCCACTCTGACCACTAACTGCCCTCACCTGTCCCCTCTGGATGCCCAACTCACTCCCTTACACACCATCACTGCAATGTCCACAGAGTTCCCTGATCTAGTCCTAGATCATGCATTCTTGGATGCCTCCTGCATTCTAATCCTGTGTTCCCATGGTTAATGGCAGCAGCTGCTGCAATCTTCTACATAAAAGGCTCAAATCTGACCTGCAGACGCCCTTCTCAGGTCCATCCTGTCCACCTACACCTCACCATCTCTCTGGCCCTCTCTATACTTGGGGCCAGAGGCTCTTACTAACTGTGAGCATTGGCCTTTCCCTCTACACCAAAAGCTGTGTATGCTGCCTTGCACATGCTAGACAATTGCATTACAACTAAGCTATATTTACACCACAGCCTAGGGGTGCCTTCCCCTCCCCCCATCCCCAACCCCAGTGGTCACACAAGCCTCAACTTGTGTCCCTCACATTCAAATACTGCCGGTTGGAGAAGATCCTTCCACAGCCAGGGAAGTCACAGGGCATCAGCTCTCTTTTGGCAGCTTTCCTGTGGGGAGAATGGGAGGACTCTTGTCTTCTCTGCCTCACTCCTGACTCTCCCCAGAGTCCCATCGCCCCAGTCCTACCTAATTCTCCTGAGCCCAATCTGGGCAGTGTCCTCATCCCAGGTCGGGTTTGGAGCAGACTGGGCCTGACTCCCAGGACTGTGGGTAGCAAAGAAGTAGCCAAGGGCCTCAAGAGTGACACATTCCAGGACATCCCTGCCCTCTCTGTCTCAGCCATCAGGTTACCTGTCCAGAGACTCGGTCATTTGTAGCTCTGCAGAGGTCTGGGGGGTCCTGCTGAGTTCCGGCTGCACCTCAGCATCTGCTGTCAGTGCAGCTGTGGAACCCAAAGAGGCAAGAACAGCACAAGGGGTGGGGAAAGTCGCAGGTGCTGGCGGGACCTCTCCCTCCTTAGGTGTGTGAGTAACAGGGGATGGAGGCGGCTTAGGGATATCTGGTTCACTGCTGGAAAGAGAAGCAGGAGGAGGAGGGCATTATCCCTCTGGGCAATCAGCCCTAACCAAGTCCTAACCCCTAAATGGGAAAAAAAATCCCAACTCCCATGGCAGGCTCTCATGCTCTCAGCGTCCCTCAGAGCCTGACTTCGTCCCTTTTCCACATTTCCCAATTCAAAGCCTACAGTTTACTT